ATTAGTTGTAAACTCTGCTTTGCTGCAGTCTGCAATCCTCCCTAGCATCTGTCACTTGGCCCGGGACCCCAAAGTATTGACTGGCTTCTCCTAACAGTGAACGGACGGCCTGGAGGCTTGTCCGAGGCACTTGCCTGAGGATGTAGCCCCGCAGGACCCCGTTGTGCTCCGTCTCAGGTGGTGGTTGCCACTGCACCATGATGGACTGGTTAGTCCTCCCACTGGCCACGATGTTCTTTGGGGGAGCGCTTGGTGGTTCTTCAGGTAACATCAACCTAAAGGTGAAATATATCAGAGAGAGAGGTAAGGGCCAGCGTCACGGCCCAGCCCAAAGCCTTGCTGAGGAGAAAACCAGCCCAAAGCACACAGCTGACCCCACTGGGGCTGTGTGTGCCAAAGGTGTGACAGTCAACATGCCAGCAACTCAGCCAGGAGGCAACGGCAGATGTGTGGCCGACAGAGGACCTGTCTAGTGCTATGGTTGGCTCTGTCAACTTGACCAAACAGTCTGAATGAGGAGTTATCTACGTCAGGCTGGTCAGTGGGCAGTCTGTGGGGATTGTCTTTTAAGCCGACTGATATGAGAAGACCCATCCCACCGTGGGTGGTATCATTCCCTAGGCAGGAGGCCTGATCTGTAGAACAGCACAGGTCTCTAGCTGAGCACAAGCGAGCAGGCACATACATGTCCGTTTCCCTCTGTTTTTGACTGTGGATGTGATATTGACTCGCTTCTGGAGTTCCTGTCTTGACTTCTCTGCTATGGCCAACAGTAATCTGGAACTGGAAAACTGAAATAAACCCTTCCTCCCCTAAGTTGCTCTTATCAGGGTATTTTATCACAGCAACGGAAACACTGGGACCACCAGGAAGCTCTGTTCCGAGTTGCGTCCCTGGCACTGTGTAGTTTGGGCATGGTGGGCACATGTGAAGTCTCAGCACTGTGTTGGCCGAGGGGGGTCATCCTTAATTACAAAGTGAGTTCCAGGCCAGCCTGGACTGTGAGAGTCCCTGTCCCTGAAGAGAAGGCACAGAGCATCATGGGAAACACTTAAGGAAGTACAGCTAGCTAAATACGTGCCAGTGTTCACGCTGCTCCGGTTGCGGCCAGAACCCCTAGGGCTGGTTGCTCATCCCTGTGTCTCCTGTTGGGGCCCACACCTCCCTCTCGGCTGGAGGCGGAGCATGGGCTCGCTTACCTGCTGGTCTCTGTGCTGTACTGGCCCTTGCCCACCTGGTTCACAGCGCACACTCTGAACTGATAGGTCCGGGCTGGCGTCAGGCCACTCACAGTGACACTTGTCATCTCCGGGCTGACATTTGACAGATGCACCTTCCATGGAGAGTCTACAAGAACCAGCAGAGCAAGGTCAGACACGTGAGCGAGCATCGTCGCAGTAAGTGGACAAGTAGGATCGTTTGCCTCCCCACACAGCGCCAGGGTTGGTGGTGGTGGCTCGCCCACCTCACGAATGTGCAAACCGAGTCGCTCAGCTGTGTGGCTAGCAACGACCGCACTGGCGTGGCATTCAGGAGCCCCACCACAGACCCAGGGGAGAGCCTCTCGTTCTCCCTTTGCCCACTCCAGGGCAAGTGGGCAGAAAGACCCTTCTGTTGGTCCTTCCTGAGAAGGTGTGTCTTCCTTCCTTCCCTCCTTCCTTCCTTCCTTCCTTCCTTCCTTCCTTCCTTCCTTCCTTCCTTCCTTCCTTCCTTCCTTCCTTCGTATGTGTTCCTATGTATACAGGTGAGGTTGTACAGGCATGTGTATGGTCATGCATGTAGAGGCCAGGGGTCAACCTCGGGGGGTCGTTTTTCCCTTGAGACGTGCTCTCTCACTAGTGTGGAACTCACTGATTTGGCCAGGCTGGCTGGCCAACAAGTTCCAGGCAGCCTCCTGTTTCTGCCTGCCAGAGCTGGGTTGACACACCTGTACCCTCACACCATGTCTAGATAGGTTCTGGGAAATTAAATTTGGGTCCTCAATACTTAACTGACTGAGCCATTCCCTCAGCCAAGGTATAAAAACAACAACAACAACAACAAAAAAAACAAAGTTTTTTTTTTTTTTCTTCAGCCTGCATACAGATGGCACTTCAAGACAAGGAAGAAAAAAAAATCCCAATTCCTGGGATCAGTACAAGATGGGAAAAGTTGTCTGTCAGCTCACCACCAGGCAGGTTGAAGATTTGTCTCCAGGAAAAGGGTGCTCCAACCCTCAGGGAATGATAAATAAGTGCTATGTTCATTAATACTCTAATAAAGAGATGATAAATACTGATGAGCTAGACATTTTGCAAGCCCTCTGTAGTGTGGCCTCCTTCTGCCACACCCCTGAGCTGCACTGGCTGAAGAGAGACACAGCAGGGTCCACAGCGAGCATGGTGCGTCTTTTGGAAGCTGCTTTTCTGTTGGGTGGAAAGATGCCTCGGTCAGCAGAATGAGCTGTTGCCGGCAAGGAAGCCTTGGGAAGGTCTAGCAGGACTGAGGCCATTGCACGATCTTCCGAGGAGTTTAAACACGCCTCTCAGCCTGGCCATGGGTGATTTGGCTCTGACCCTGAGCATCTGCTGTGGGCTCCCACGCTGAACACAAAGGTGCCTGCAGGCTCTCCCAGGACACAGCTACTTTTCTTGTCCCTCTGAGACGGTGCTACTAGCAACCTCCCTTTTGCCCACACTAAAGATGGTCAGAGAGAGATGATGCTCGATTCCCAGTGAACCAGGCTCTTCTCAGGCTGTGGGCAGCACACCTCGAACACCGCCCATGAAAATCATGAAAATCACAGCCGTGTCCGCAGAAATCAGCTGGCTGACTTGGGGGTCGAGGCATGCGTCAGGGGTTCATGGGAAAGGTGCCTGCCACTCCAGCTCCTTACAGGCCGTTGCAAAGTGATCTGAATGCTCTAAAATAGGACCCAGGCTCCCCACAGGCAACAAAAGAGATGCTTCTCCCCAAGTCAGAATTCGTTAGCTGGGTTCCTCCACACAGAAAGCGAGCGAGGAACATGGGCCAGTTGGGCTGCAAAGACGGGATTTTTTTGTTTGTCTTAAATTGTTGTACATAAAGCAGCTTCCGAGCATAGCTTCCTAGAAATGCAGTTTTCACCACCAGCTGGGCCGAGTTATGTTTCTGGCTTTTGATTTTTGGTGATGTGCATAATTTAGCTGTTGACAAAGATCGCTTCCTGTTTCATTTAGAAGCACAGTGTTGGGCTTGATGGGACAGAGGACTTGCTCTACAAACAAGAAGACTTGAGTTTGAATCGCTGGTACCCAGGGGCATGGCTGTGTGTTCCTGAAACCCCAGCTCTGGGGCACTGACAGGCAGATCCTGAAAGCTTGCTGGCCAGCCTGACTGAAAAGGTGAGCTTCAGCTCAATGAGAGACCCTGTCCTGAGGCAATGAGGTAGAAAGGGAGAAGACGCCTGGTGTTGTGCTCTCCTCATGCATGCGTGTGGGCATCCTAACATGCATGAACCACACACTCACATGACCGCACACACCGAGCCCCACAGTTTGTAAGCCCTTAATTAGCTGTGGAAAAGCCTAGCCCTCTGAGCCTTTGTCACTGTCCTACAGCCCAGAGTTTCTCAGCAGATTCCAGCACAAGAGCCCCCGACAATGCAGAGGGTCAGCGAACTGTCCCTGACACTGTGGATCTGGGCCTCCTGTTGCCAAGGCTAACAGTTACACAATTAGCTTCATCCTCAACACGGCTGGTGTGAGATAGGAAGAACCTAAAAACTGTCACTCGCTGTGACCTCTTCCACTTGGAGCTGTTCAGTTTCCTTTGAACTTCTGTACAACCGAGAGACCATCAAACCACAAGGACATGTCACCTCACATCTTTTGGGAAAGTGGCCATCAAGCAAACAAACAGGAAATAACAGGGATCACGCACTGTGCCACCTACTTCCTTTCAGAGCCCTGGAGGTAAGGCTCTCGGGCAGCTCATTCCAACCCACTCTTCCTCTGGACTTCTGTCTGCTAGTGAGTAGCTTCCGTGCTTATACAGCTTGAGCTAGCCAGCGTCATTGCAGGGAGGGACAATACTGGAAGGTTCCCTGTTGGTTGACTAAGAGTTGATCAGAGCCAGAGAAGGGCAGAGAAGGCTTAGGACAGGAAGTTGCCTGCTGGGGCTTCAATCTGCTGTGTCTCCCTCAAACCTCATGTTGAGGCTGGGTGGCTAGTTGTTAATAGTAAGCTTGGCAGAACCTAGAGTCATCTGTGAGACGGGCCTCTGAGTGTGCATTCGGGATTATCTTGATTATATTCATGGAGGTGGCAAGACCTGCCCACTGTGGGTGGCACCACCCCCTGGTGGGATCCTTGACTGAATAAGTGAAGAAAGGGCTGAGCAGCGGCAGCATGGAGTCACTACTCTCTGCTTCCCAACTGTGGATGACACGTGACCAGCTGCTTCCAGTTCCTGTCACCTTGACTTCCCTGCCATGATGGATTGGGCACTTGAACTGTGAGCCAGAGCAAACCGTTTCTTCCTCGGGTTGCTTTTGTTGGGGTATTTCTTACAGCAACAAGAAAGAGCTTAGGATGCCAGGGCATGCTGTTGGAGGGGAGAGCTTTGGGGAGGCATGGGGGCCTTCAAGCGGAAAGAGTGGGGCTGGGGACTCGTTTACACTTGTGGAACCCTGAGTTTAATCCTCAGTACACAAACAAATGAAAACAAAACAACAATAATCAAACAAAGGATTAGTGCCTTTCTTGCAGGAGCGAGCTTTCTCCGTTGTACAATGGACTGGTTTCTAAGCATACTGGCAGCTCTCCTTGGCTGCCTCACAGTACCTGCCTTCCTTTCCACCTCTCTACTGGGTTGTGACATCTTTACACATTACCCAGCCTCAGGTATTCTGCTACAGCAACACAAATCTACCCTAAGACACCGCTGCCCCTGGATCGTACCTCCCGGTCTCTGCCCAGCACAGCTTTGGGCCACGGTTTCCTTTCAGAGCAGGAACAGCTCCTAAGTGCCCATAACCCGAGGCACAGTGTCTGCCGCCTGGTTTGATCTGTTGATGCTGGTCTGTTCAGTGCTCCAGTTGCACTTATTGATTATTTCTTTCTTTGTTTATTTATTCTTTTTCATCTCTACTAGCTAACAAGAGATCTTGAAGGTAGAGAAATTAAACCGCAAAACTGACCAAAAAAAGCCCAATCCATCTCACAGGCACCCTAATTTCTATCCCTCCCCCTCCAAAAAAAAGTAATATGGAAAGGATCTGCTCGTTCACAAGCTATGGAGCTGTGAACTTCCGAAGACTGGTGAAACGTAAACAGCACGGCGCATCTGGACATGCCAACAGGAAAAAGATTCTCTCCGCATCCAGGCCTCACAGGACTCCTACCGAGGTTCCTCCAAGGGGCTGGAGAGCCCGGGTTGCATCTGACGGGGGCTGACACACAGGCCCCCGTTCCCTCCGCCCTCCCCTCAAGTGCTCCTCCTGTGCCTGGTCTGGAGGCCGTCACTCCGACAGGCTGAGAAGCTCAGTGGCTCTGTTCTGTGTGTGTGAACTCGGATGACAGTTTACTGTTATTTCTTTTTCTTTGTGTGTGTGTGTGGTGTACAGAGGTGTCTTTGTGGGCCTTTTACATGTGCATGGGTGGGTACATGTGTATGAGCATGCCTGTTTAGGCCGGAGAGCAATGTCAGATGTCTTCACCGTTCCTGGGTGCTTGTGTGTGCGCGTTGGTTCTTGCTTGCTTGCTTTCTTGAGTGTGTGTGTGTGTGGTGTGTATGATATACGTATGAGTACATGTTTGTGTACAGGTGTGTTAGCTGGCCTTGAACTCAGAGTGTAGCCAAAGAGGAACTTTAACATCTGACTCTTCTGCCTCAACCTCCCAAGTGCATGGAATGCTAGGCAGGCAACTGACTACATCTCAGCTCTCAAAGGCTGGCAGGATTCAATACACACACACACACACACACACACAGCGCATTTCCATTTTCTCAATTAATGTTACCAAAAAAGGAAAACATTTTCGGAGGAGAAATTTTCAGCCTGGAAGATCTGCAGCTGTGGGAACCTTCTCCAGGACAGGTGGAGCTGCGGCCTCACAGGCTTGTTTGTGTGTGTGTGTGTGTGTGTGTGTGGGTCACTATCCATGCCAGTGGATCAACCTCCGCATCGCCAGGTGTAAAGCACTAGGCCACGTGTGCCTGCAGTGGGAAGGCTTCCCCCACACCTGCGCACACATGCACAGAGTCACGAGCTTGCACACACATAGGTAATAGATGCTCAAATGCACAGATGGGATGTGACGCAAACCCAGCCTCCGGGGACTAAAAGAAGATGCAGGGATGGATTCAGCAACATTGTGACCCGAATC